GGCCACGGACAACGGCGCGCCCTTCTCCGAGGAACCAGCCGATCACCGTTTCGGGTGCGCTGGGGAAGGCGCGCTCGGCGCTGCATTCTTCTATGCTGAGTTCGGGCCCGCGCTCGCACGCGGCGACGCCCCCCCCCACCCACCCACCCTCGCGCGGTGGACCCACTCTCTACAAGGAGATCTGACACACACCTGCAGCACTGCGAACGCGTCGAGGACGAACCAATATAGGAAGCACATCTCCGCCGCAGAGCGGCCCAGCTTCCACGCATCCCCCGCGCCCTTGGACGCGGGCCACGCAACAACTCCAGACGCGAAGAACACCTTGCTATCAGACACCCCCATGATGAACTCGCCCGCGGGAACCAACTTCGACATCCAAGCATCACCAGCCAACGACCACTTGCCAAGTCCGCGCAAGGTCCCGAGTAGTGACATCTTGGCATGCAAGTTTCGCTGGGTCTCTGGATCGAACGCGAGCCAGTTCTGGTTGCCAGCGAGTCCTTTCAGCTTATGGGTCTGCTCGCTGCGCGTCGTGATGAAGCGCTCGCGGGAGTCGCGGCGACCCCCCTCGGCGGTCTTCACCTCGGGCGACAGGAAGAACGCGCGCTCGAGCTGGAAGGCGGCGACGAGGGCGCCGAGCCAGCGGCGACGACCTCGGGGCGCTCGCACTGGGACGTCAGCTCGCGCTGCACAGGCTGCCCCCAACAATTAATCAACTTGACGACCTTGCTCGCATTATCCCTCGCCTCGGCGTCGCGGCGCAGCTTGTTCGCCTCCTCGTCGACGCGCCCCTGGCCGGAGCCTTTGAACAAACAACCCAACATTGACTTAAGGGGGCCTGTCACGTTAATGGTATAGGCGCGCTTAGCGCGGGTGGCGACCCACCGCAGGAACGCGCTATAGAAAAGGGAACGTTTGCAGAGTGCCTTGACAATCCGATCATCCGAATCCTCTCCCAGCCGCCAATTCTAAAAGTAATGCTTCAGCCCGCTGAGGAAAGGCGCCGGCAAATGCATCGCATCGCGAGGGGGGGAGGCAATGGCATAGAGGGCGGACCTCCCACTCCCCGCCCCCATGCGCATGGGCGCGGGCGGTGGATTGCGTTCCAGTCTAGGCTGCATTGTCCAATTTTCACACGCTAGCGAGCACCACGCTTCACCTGGCATGCAGAACGCACTAAGACTGAAACTGGATAATGCGAACGAATCACTGGATGCTGCCAGAACCCTGCAAGCATCCGCATCTCTGCCTCCTGCAGATGTTAGGGCGAGGACCCCGAATGAATGCGATGGCGGAGAACGAGCACCAAAGGCAGGGCAATAAAGATTTGACGAATTGAACCGGATCAGCTGCCTGGCGACACCCCCGCCTGCACCGCAACTTACTGAACCGAGTCCGCTGGCCCACGGCAGTTTGGCTGGATGCACTGAGCTGCGCACGGCACCTTCTCCTTGCCGTTGAAGCCCCGGGGCGAGACTCGATCGCGCAATCGAGAATCGGGATCGAAGTTGGTCAGCTTCGCCCCGAAGTTCCCCACGAAGCGCTTGCGCGAGTTCTCGAGCCACTGGATAGTTGCGCACTTGTCATTTTCCTTCTGCCTCAGCTTGCCGATCGTGGTCTTGAGGCGTTTGATCTGCGCAGCTTGCTCCTTGATGGTCCCCCTCTCGGCGTTGGTGATCGCGCCCTTAGGCTGCGCTGACGTCGCATCGGGAGCAGCGCCCTTGCTCTTAGGCGCCATCGGCGAGAATGGGAAGGACGCTACGCGGGCTGCGCTCGAACGCGTCGGCTGACTGCAAATCTGTCTGGCCCGAGCACACAACGCCCACGGAAAGGCCGATCGCCCAGCGTTGCCGAGCGGGGCGCCCAGGCACACCGCCAGGAACTTCGAGCGGACCAACTCTCCGGACGGTCAGGACGAGGATGGGATAGTTGCGCAGCGGGATCGCGATTCGACCGGACCCCGAGGCCTCGCGAGGCCACGGAGGCCACAGGGATGCCCCACGAGGCCCTGGGAGGTTGCAAGCCACGGGACGCCCTGAGACCCTGGAGCCCCCAATCGAACATGGCACCATGAACCCGCGCGCCCTGGGAGGCAAAGGGGCCCCGAGGGGGTAGCCGACAGAGAGAAACACCTGACGCTTTGGACTTCAGGCAGAAAGATCGACCCCGAGGCCCCGCAGGGGAGAGTTGGGGCCCCGCCGGGGACATCTCGGGGCAGCGCCCAGGCCCTCTCGGGGCCACCATTGGGGCGCCATCGAGGCAAAGTTGGCACATCTAGACATGCGCGGAGCGACGATGCCGCAAAGCATCCGCAGTGTTCTGGAATCGCAGCGCCGAAGAGCATCAGCACATTTGGATTCGCAGTCTAGTTGCGAGGGCGGGGGGGGGGGATCGGATGCACCGCGATGCAGATGCAATCGCACGCGGACGGCATGCTCCACAACTGGAGGTTTCCATCCAAGCAAATCTGCCCTGAGGGAGGGGGGGGGGCATGAGAGGCCCTGCGATCAGCGGGGCAGGCCCTGCGAGCCCCTATACCTGTAGGCCCTGGAAGGCCATGAGACCCTGGAGCCCCTGAGCGAGCAGCCACAGCCCTGAACCACCGGGGCCATAAGATGCACGCAAGCCCTGGGCCCTGGGCACACATCCCCAGAGGCCCCGCGCCCATAAGTCATGGGAGGCCCTGAGGCCCCGCCCGGGCTACATCGAGGGCCCGATGGCGCGCCCTGAGGGCCCGCTGGATGCCACCTCGGGGTGACCTTTCGCGGGGCACATAGGCCCTCTTGAAATATGATACAAAGACACTGCCGCGGCCCTCATGAAGTGGCTGGGGGGGGCACCTAGACGCACGCGGGGTGGCAATGCCGCGAGGCATCTACACATCTCTGACATCAGGGCACAGATGGCGATGGGCTCGGCGCATAAACATTCGCACACCAACGGGAACATTGTCTCCGGCGCGCGCGCTGGATGAAAGCTGTTCTCTGAGTTCTCTGCGAAGCACATGCTGGCAACTACTGGGTTCGCTCGAAAGAACTCGGGGTCGGGATCACGAACTGCTGAGCCCCCGCGTAGCTCTCGGCGTGCGTCTCGCCATCAAGTCGGAGCTGCTCAGCGTGGCAGGGGGCCCTGCTGCGTACCATGCACGTCCGGCTGCTTGTGCTCCAGGCCCAGGGTGGCGTCGGCACCTCCGTGCCCAAACTGCTGCAGTTCGTCCTTGAAATTGGAACCGAAGGCCTTGGAGTCCTTGTGCTGCTGCGTCACCAGGTCCTGCTCGTCGGTTGAGCATTCTTCTGGTCGGAGCCCTGAATGAAGCCGTGCGTCGCGGGGTCATTGGAGCCCTGCTTCTCGGCGCGCTCTGCGCCGCCGCCCGAGCTCGAACGCGCCCAGACGCCGCTGTCGGAGCCATGCCGCGCCGGCCTCCAAGCGGTGGAACCGCCGGAACCACGGCCAGGACCATGCTTGCCCTTCGCGGCGGAGCCGTCCTTCTTCAAGTCCTGAGCGTTCTGCTCGACAGTCTGCACGCGCTGCTGCTCGGCGAGCTCGATGGTGGCCTCCAGCACGGCCGCGACGTGCTCGCCCACCTGCCGCGGCACGTCGCCAACCTCGCTCGCGCCCAGGGGCTCCGCGACGCGCGCCGCCTCAGAGCCCTCGGGCCCGTGGGGGCCCTCGCCGTTGACCTCCGTCGGCAGCTCGGGCGCCGCTGGCACGGTCATCTCCACGATCGCGTAGCACTCCGTCGGCGGCACGGCCGCCACCTGAACGGACGCCTCCCCGATCGCGTCGGAAAAGGCCTCGACGTCGAAACATTCCTTGAAGGTGGCCTCGGACGCCCCGCACTTGTCGTCGACGAACTGCAGGCACGGCTGCAGCTCCACGCCGAAAGCCTCGAGCAGCAAGCGAGGCTGCTGCGGGTCCTGCCAGATGCCTGGCGCCCACGCCACGCCCACGGGCCCGCCCTAGCGCTCCGCCAAGCTCCAACCCGCAGCCAGGCCATGCCCGAAAGCCTCGGCCCTGCTCTCCGCGACGGGGCCACACCCCTTCCGCGCGGGCGAAGGGGGGCCCACCGGAGCGGCACCGAGGCGCGGCCCGCACTGGGCCGCGCGAGCGCCTGCGCGTCGGCGCCGTCCACTTGCGCCCCGGGGGCGGAGGGCGGCGTTGCGCCGCAGCCTCTGGAGACACGTGGGCGCGCGTCCCCCCACCAGCGCGGCGAGGGTTGGAAGAAGGCAACGGACGCGGGCGGCCACCTCGCCGTCGCCGATGATGACCAGGAGGGCCTCCTCCGCGTCTTTCGGCTGGCGTATGGCGGCCGCCAGCTGCGACTGCACCCGCACGACGAGGCGGTCCGCAAACGCACGGGCACCAGCAGCGCCGCACAGCACCGCCGCCGAGCACGGTCCCGCAGCCACCACTTCATGCGCCAAGAGACCTGCCCCCCCAAGGCCCTTACGCCCGCCCAAGATGGGGCACGACGAGGGACAAGGTCCAGGAGCAGGGGGCCTACGGAGTTGGCCTGAGCCAAAATGGATACGGAGGAGAAGGAGGAGGAGGAGGAGGAGGCTCCACCACCATGCCTGCACGGAGTGGCCGTGTTAGAATACACGTCTGTTGTCTGGGACGTTGTGTCGAGTTTTAAGGGACCCCCCCGTCGACGCGCCCCTTCTGAAATTGTTTTCTGGCGGTCTTTTCGGCCTCCAGACCGCCAATTCGGCCTCCAACACGGCTTCAAGGATAGCCAAGACGACAACAAAACGGCTCAAGATGGCCCAAGACAGCAAGAGTCTCAAGACGGCTCAAGATAGCCCATGAGGGCATCAAGACAGCCCAAGGAGCCCCCAAAACGGCCCGAGAGAGCTCCGAGAGGCCCTCCTGGAGAGCCCGAGGGGGCCAAAACCATTGATTCCCCCTACGTTTTTGAAAGATTTGAGGTTCTCGCCTGTTCGGGTTTCCGACCACCCGAGACGGCCCAAGAGGCCCCCAAGAGGGCCCCAGAGGACCCGAAGATCGCCGAAGGGGCCGCATGGAGGACGGCGTTGCGCCGCAGCCTCTGGAACCACGTGGGCGCGCGTCCCTCCACCAGCGCGGCGAGGGCTGGAAGAAGGCAGCGAACGCGGGCGGCCACCTCGCCGTCGCCGATGATGACCAGGAGGGCCTCCTCCGCGTCCTTCGGCTGGCGCATGGCGGCCGCCAGCTGCGACTGCTGCCGCGTGACGAGGCGGTCCGCAGACGCACGGGCACCAGCAGCGCCGCACAGCACCGCCGCCGAGCCCGGTCCCGCAGCCATCACTCCGTGAGTCAAGAACCCTGCCCCCCAATGCCCTCACGTCCTCCCGGGATGGGGGTATGCCGAGGGACAGGGTCCAGGAGCAGGGGGGCTACGGAATTGGCCTGAGCCAAAACGGCTACGGAGGAGGAGGAGGGGACGTTGGCCCCAAGAGGACCCAAAGATCGCCGAAGGGGCTCCAAAAGATGACCCCAAGACGGCCTTGAAGCGCTCCAAGAGAGCAACAAGACGGCCAAGAGAGGCCTCTCAGGCTGCCTTGGGCGGTGCCAGAACCTCAAGAACCTCTCAAAGGAAACAATGGTTTGGGCCACCTCAAGGGAAGGCGGAGGAGGGGAAATGCGGGGGGGCGACAGGAATGACAAAGGATCTAGAAAAGTGGCCCGCGCTGGGAGGAGAGCGCAATTCTGGACGACGGGAGCAGAGCGCCGATCCGGAAATGAGGCCCACGCTGCAGCGGGAGCACGGTTCTGACACACTAAGAACAATCGGATTACAGATAGATAAGGAAAAAAGGAAACATAGAATGTGAGTCCTGCGTGTTAGAAAAATACAGCCAGAGTCCAGCATCACCGAACAACGTTTTAGAGCCAGGGTGGGTCCTGAGTGTGTTCGCGCGTCCCACAGTGACCGACCTCCTGCTCTTCACTGGTATGCCCCGTCGTCATCCTCGTCATCGACATGCTCATCCTGGAAATCCTACTTCTCGCTTCTCTCGCCTGCCCTCCCATTTCACCTCCTTCTACCCCCTCTCCTCAGGTTCATCCTAACCTCGTCGTTCCCCTCCTCCTCCTCCTCCTCCTCCTCCTCCTCCCTCCTCCTCCTCCTCCTCTCATCATCATCATCATCATCATCATCATCATCATCATCATCATCATCATCATCATCATCATCATCATCATCATCATCATCATCATCATCATCATATTCACCACCATCATCATCATCATCATCATAATAATAATAATCATCATCATCATCATCATCAGCAGCAGCAGCATCAGCATCAGCATCAGCATCAGCATCAGCATCATCATCATCATCATCATCATCATCATCATCATCATCATCATCATCATCATCATCATCCTCATCCTCATCCTCATCCTCATCCTCATCCTCATCCTCATCCTCATCCTCATCCTCCTCATCCTCTTCATCCTCATCCTCATCCTCATCCTCATCCTCCACCTCCTCGATATCATCGTCATCTTCCTGATCTCGTCTTAATTCACATTCTCCTCATCCTCCTGGTTCTCTTCATCTTCCGCCTCGTCGTCGTCATCTTCGGCCTCCTCATCCTCCATTGACTGGACTTCCTCACCTCGTTGACCCGTTACTCCTCGTCGCAGTGCTCTTCCTTGTGGTGCTCCTCTTCCTCCTCCCCCTCCCCCTCCTCCCCCCCCTTCCTCCTCCCCCTTCCTCCTCCTCTGCCTCCTCCTCCTCCTCCTCCTCCTCCTCGACCTCCTCCTGATCCTGCTCCTGCTCCTCCTCCTCCTCCTCCTCCTCCTCCTCTCCTCCTCCCTCCTCCTCTCTTCTTCTTCTTCCCCTCCTCCTCCCCCTCCTCCTCCTCCTCCTCCTCCCCCTCCTCCTCCTCCTCCTCCTCGCGGCGTGACGCCCAGCTGGCCACCTCCGAGGGCGGCAGCCCGGCGTGCACCCAGCGGGGCCGCGTCGTCGTCGTCGGCGTCGTCGTCGGCGCCGCCGTCGTCGTCGCTGCGCTCGGCGCCGCGGCGACAGGCGATGCGCCCCGCTCCAGAGCCTCGGGCGGAACTAGCTTCTTTACCACAACGGCCAGACCACCTCGCGAACGGCAGCTCGGAGCCCAGAGTTGCGAGGATGTCTCAGGCGAAGCGGGCAGAACCAGCTCACGCGCGGCATCTAGGAGCTCAGAGTTTCGAGGATGTCTCAGGCGCAACGGACCAGACCACCTCACCAACGGCACCTCAGAGCTCAGATTTGAGAGGATGCCTCAGGCCAAACGCCCCATCCCGAACAACTCAAAAACGAGAGCTGTGAGGATCTCTCAGGCGAAACGGCCCGGACCACCAAATTGTTTTGAGGACATCTCTGCTTTGACCTCCCTCGGCCGGAACTGGCTTCTAGCACGACAGCACCCCGCTCAGCAAGCTGTTTGGGGAAATGTGCGGAGACGGCCGAGAGAGAGAGAGAGGCGAGCTGCACTCATAATGCGTAGCTGCAGAGAGGGAGGGAGAGGGAGAGAGAGTGAGGAGAGAGAGAGAGAGGCGAGCTGCATTCATAATGCGTAGCTGCAGAGGGGGAGGGGAAGGCGCTTGGGCTCCCTCCCTCCCTCCCCTCGAGTCTCAGGTCGGGCGCGTCCCCCTACAGGCGGGCTTTGGACGAAAACTAAGAGATACAGCAAAAATGTGCCAAAAAACGCAAAGATGATCAAAACAGCGCCCCCATACTATTTCTTGCCTAGTTTAGAATATTCCCCCTGTACACGCCGGTCGGAAGAAGTGGGTAGAAGCATGAAATAGGAAGACGTTGGAAGTAGATTGAGCTTCCATCCGCCCCCTGAAGAGGAAGAAAGAAGGGAACCAATTAATCCTTGAAGTCGGAAGGCGCCAAAACTAGATTGGGATCTGGGAACCTACTTTCAACGACCGGCGTGTAGAGGGACGCGCCCGACTCACAGTTTGGGTCCCCCCCTCCCTCCCCTCGAGTCTATCCCTCCGTCTCTCCAAGGGCGCGGCCCGTGCACCTGCACCTGGCCAGGCCCCTCCTGGACCCACGACCGGTGTCAACGCCCTCCTGGCCTTGGCCAGGAACTCATGTACACTTAGGGCGGGCATGTCCCCCTGCAGGCAGCTTGTGGACGTATCCAAACATGCTCTACTAAAAGTAAGAATACTCATAATAATGATACGAATCATAAAAATATGAATCATAAAAATAATAACAATAATAATAATCATAATGATGATAATAATAATAGTAATAATACTAGTACTAATAATAATTGTACTACGAAGAATAATAATAATTAGTAGTATTATTAAGACAATAATAACAATAATAACAATAATAATAGTACCAACAATAATAATAATGATGCGAATAATGATAATAATAATAATAATAATAATGATAATAATAATAATAATAATAATAATAATAGCAATAATGATAACAACAACAACAACGTTCATGATAATATAGATAATACTAAAACTGAAAAGAGGGAAACAAAAAAAACTATGCTTGACTATTTCTGAAGATTCCCCCTGCAGAGGGACAGGCCCGACTTACATGCACACCGATCCTGGGCCCACCACGGGCCTGGCAAAAAAAAACGTCCCCTTGACCATGTTTGACTATTTCTGAAGATTTCCCCTGCAGAAGGACAGGCCCGACTCACATGCACACCGATCCTGGGCCCGCCATGGGCCTGGCCAGGATCGGGCGCGCTCCGTCCTTCCTCCTCCCTCCTCACCCCACCCCTGCTCCATCCCTTCCATCCCTCCCCTCTTTCTCCCCGTCGGATCTGCCTGACGCCCTCCCTCCCCGACTCTCTCCGTCCAGAGGCAGCCGAACGCCACGCACGCGCGGCGGCCCGCGCGCGCATTTGCCGCGCGCCAACAGCCTCTGGAAGGGGACGCCGACGCCCGCGAAACATTTACAGGGGCAATCCCAGACCTTCGGCGCCCGGGGCCGTTCCATCCCGGCGGTTCCTCCCCGGCCTCGGCCTCCAAAGACTGCTCTGTGGCATAATGGGGCCCAACTACAAGCCAACAGGGCGAGACCCAGACCTCCCCGAGCTGTGCAAAAATCCCGACGGGAGGGTTTGCTCCTCTGTTGTCGGCTTCCTGGGGGACCCGCACCTGGCCTCAGGACCGCCAAAACAAGACTCAGGATGAAAAGCCGGTCCCGGGGAGGGGGTCCAGACCTCTGGGGGTCGACGCTGTGAAAAAATCCCGAGGCTTATTTTCTCAGTTGTCGGCCTCCCGGGGGCCCCTGCTGGGCTTCAGGACCGTCAAAGAGCGACTCGGGATGAAAAGCCGGTCCCGGGGAAGGGGTCCAGACCTCTGGGGGTCGACGCCGCGGAAAAAAATCACGGCGTCGGGGGTCTGGGTATATACACGGAGATCCTGGGCCCAGGATCGAGGGGCAGCGAAAGGGGGGAGGGGGGGGGGGCGAGCGGCACAGGGGGGGGGGGGGAAGCGTCGACCTGGCATCGGCGATGCATCGCCGACGGATCGGCGATGGGCCCCCGATGGCAGATCCCCACAGCCCTGGGCGGGGCGGGGCTGAGGCGGGCCCGTCGGCGAGGAGTGGACGATCGGGGATCGGTATGCATCCCCCTTCTTCCTATCCCCCCCTTGCCGTTGCCGCTGAAGGCTGGGCCTGGCCCGGATAGGCTCGGGGCGTCCAGTGGCGCCCTCCGACTCTGGGCCCCAGGGCCGTCGGAGGCGGCTCCCGGACGATGCGCTGCCCCAAAAAAAGAGAAGGGGCCGAGACCTCCGAGGCCCGCGGGTCGAGAAAGTCCTGGCCGTCGGAGGTCTGGGGACGAAGGGTGAGCCGGCGTTCAAAAACCGGCTCTCGCCCAGGCGCTGAGGAACGCAGCAGAGGCACAAGAGGAGGGGGGGAGGAGGAGGAGGAGGAGGAGGAGGAGGAGGAGGAGGAGGAGGAGGAGGAGGAGGAGGAGGAGGATAGATGGATGGGACAGCATCAAAGAGGCCCCGGCGGCCGCCACCAGGCCAATGACCGCCAGGGCCCCAGATGTCAAGAGCCCGCGCCGCCCCGAGCACGCCGAGCAGGCGCCGCGGCGACGAGGGAAGGGCCCCGAAGCAGCCCAGACAGGCATCCGTCCGAGCCCGCCCTGTCCCACGGACAAGCCAGGGGGGCGGAGACCACCCCCGCGGGGACAGAGCGGGCACACCCTGCGGCCGCCGGCGGCCGCCCCCGAACCCCGAAGAGGGGAACGGGAACGCACGGGGCAAGCCCGACCAGGGCGGCGGCCCCCCGAACCCACGCCGAGGGGG